GAGAGGGGTCAGGTCTGCTTGATGTGAGTGCTCTACAAGACTGTTATATTCTTTTATTATTATTATTATGATGATGCTGATGATGTATACAATATTCTGTCTGTGTGTATGTCTGCAGGCCAGAAGAGGGCACCAGACCTCATTACAGATGGTTATGAGCCACCATGTGGTTGCTGGGATTTGAACTCAGGACCTTTGGAAGAGCAGGCAATGCTCTTAACCACTGAGCTATCTCTCCAGCTCCTGACTGTTGTGTTCTTAAACCATCTCTCCACCCCTTTTGTCTATTTAAAACTGTCTTCATGGAAAAATAGTCATCAGTTGGGCTTGCTCACCACACAAGATAAAGACCACCAAATATGGCTCATTAGCATAACATATCTTCTGTCTATCTTCTACAATTTGTCCTGTGATTTGATTATTAAACTCTCAATTTATTCCCAGGCTTAAGAGAAACTGACAAGGTTCCAGTTTTTTGAAACAAGGTCTTGTTGACCTTGAACTGAAGATCCTCTTGGCTCAGCTTCCCAAGTGCTGGGATAAAAGACATGAGCCACTGTGCCTAGCTTTAGAACTCAAGTTTTCAATTTGGAAAGTGACGTACATTTTCACAGTAGTGACAGACAGGCCATCTGGGCTATAGTGCTCCCTGATCCTGTCATTTAAGCCATACTCACAGGAGAGACTCAGAACCCCTTCCCGGCACCTGTGTTCACCTTGCTGCAAGATTTTGGTAACATTTGGGAAATGGTCAACAACTTTTCTCCAAATATCATTCACACTTTTCTATGGGAGAAGAGGGTGGGAGTGGGGAACACAGGGTTTCATAAAGTCAAGGCTAGCTTTGAACTCTTCTGATCCTCCAATGTCTACCAAGTGTTGGGATTATACAACCACTCTGGTTAATTAGTGATACTTTAGTTAATGTTTTAGGGTTTTTTTAAAAACGGGGTTTCACTATGTGGCCCAGGCTGGCCTGGCACTCACTAAATAGGTCAACCAGCTTTGATGGACTCACAGAGGTTTCACTTGCTTCTCCCTCCCAAGATCTTGGATTAAAGGTATGTCCCAGTGTGCCTGGCACAAGTGATTTTTTTTCTTGTTTTTTTTTGGGGGGGGGGGGACAGGATTTCTCTGTAGCTTTGGAGCCTGTCCTGGAATTAACTCTAAACCAGGCTGGCCTCAAACTCACAGAGATCCACCTGCCTCTGCCTCCTGAGTGTTAGGATTAAAGACGTGCCCTACCACTGCCGGCACAGATGATACTTTTAAAGACTATATGAAAGTTATAAATCATGAGTTCAAACAACTATGGATTGAAGATATTTGAAAAACAGGCACATATGTCCACAAGATGTAGATTCTGGTCATTACCCCCACACAATATAGTGTTATTTGAAAAATCATCTGGATGGCATCTAGATACATACGTTATGTTCATGTCAACACTGACTCCAGGAAGCCCTCTTTCTGTGCCCATCAGAGCCACGGTTGAGATGGTATCTATCAGAGTTGCTGTCATGCCCCCATGGAGAGTGCCGTGCTTGTTAGTGTGCTCCTCTTCCACTTTCATTTCACAAATTACTTTATCAGGAGCAGCAGAGACAAGCGTCACCTAAATAGTAAAATGTGAAAAAAATATTTGAACATTAATTCTGTGCTATTTTAATAGCTCAAATACATCATCACAGCAAGAACAATCCTGACGCTGGAAGCTTGGCACAGAGCCACACACCTGTAATTCCAGCATCTGGGGCACAAAGGGAGGAGGATATGTATTTCTAGGTGCCAGGGCTATAATAGTGAAATCTTTTTTTTTAATATTTACTTTTATTATGTATACAATATTCTGTCTGTGTATATGCCTGCAGGCCAGAAGAGGGCACCAGACCTCATTACAGACAGTTGTGAGCCACCATGTGGTTGCTGGGAATTGAACTCAGATCCTTTGGAAGAGCAGGCAATGCTCTTAACCACTGAGCCATCTCTCCAGCCCCCAATAGTGAAATCTTAAAAAATATGTATTTTTTTAAAAATCATGCTTATAAGCATATGCACATGGAATGTAATGGAACAGCATGTAAGGTGTTTTGGAGATAAGAGTTAGACAATTGTAAGCCAGTCACCCATCCTGGGTGCCAGAAACAAAACCCAGATTCTCTGCAAGACTAGTATGTAGTTTTAACCACAGAGCCATCTCTCTATCCCCCATAGGAAGAATAGTAAGATTTTGTCTTAAATTAAAAATATATGCATGTGTTTGTGTCTGAGTATTTTATCTGCATATACATGAACAGAGACTGCTCATTTGTTTCCTGGCCACCCTGACCTGAATAATCACACAGAAACCATATTAATTACATTACTGCGATTAAAGGCGTGCACCACCACCACCAGGCTGAAATTAACACATTTCTATTCATCTGTGTATCATCATGAGGTTGGATCCTACTGGTAAGGTTCCAACGGCATCTTTCTCCTTTGGCAGCTACATGGTGTCTCTTTGACTCTGCCTACTTTATATCTCTTCCAGCCTGGCTATATTCTGCCCTGTCATAGGCCAAAGTAGTTTTTTTATTAACCAATGGTAATAAAACATATTCATAGCACACAGAGGGGAATACCACATCACATATATGTCTAGTTCTGAGATCCTGTCTTTAAAAAGTCATTTGAACAAGCAGAATATACCTAAAAAAGTAGACTCAGAGCTGGGCAGTGGTGCACGCCTTTAATCCCAGCACTCAGGAGGCAGAGGCAGGTGGATCTCTGTGAGTTCAAGACCTGCCTGGTCTACAAGAGCTAGTTCCAGGACAGGCTCAAAAGCAGCCTTGACAATTAATGGTTGAAATTAGCCCTTTTATAATTTATTTTCTAGCTTAACCTTCAATATACTCAGATTTCCAGAGTAAAGTCTGGCAGGAATGTACTCCTAGACTCCTGCCTGCTGCTAGCTGGAGCTTTGAAACTGGGTTCCTGGCCTTAATAAATTCTCTTAGCACTCAGCTGGGATCAGTGTTTGAGGGCTACAAACAGACGGGGGGGGGGGGGGAGAAACGGGGGGGAAGGGGGAGAAAAAGAAGGGGGTGTGAGAGAGAGAATGTTCAGGACAATGTCTTTTGCTATTCCTCATCTTGCAGAGTTCAGATCACTGGGCTGAGATGGCTCAGCAGTTAAGAGTACTTGATACTCTTGCAGATGACCCGAGTCTCATTCCTAGCACCCACATAGCAATTCATAACCATTTACACCTCCAGTTCCAGAAGATTCTTTTGGCCTCCACAGGCACCTGTAGGAAAATCACATACGTAAAATAAATATAAATATTAAAGAAATCAGAGGGTTGTATAACACCAGAATTTCCTTGTGTTTTTTTTGTTTTGTTTCTTTATATTTAAATTTATTTTTGTGATTGAGTCTCTTGTGTGTATGTGTGCATCATGAGTGTGCCTGGTGCCCACAGAAGTAAGAAAAGGTTGGATACCTGCAACTTGGTAATGGATGGTTGTGAGTCACTGTGTGGGGCTGAGAACTGAACCCTGGTCCTCTAAGAGGTAGTTCTTCAGCCTCCCAAATGATAGCATCACCAGGCAGGCCTAGCTCTCTCTGGACCTTCTCTATCAACCGACCCCCACGATCTGTCATCTTCTAATCACCAAAAGAAGGTTTTAAATTGGTTGTTTTTTAGTTTTTATACAAGCAGAGTAATTTTCTACACGAATTAATGAATAGTGCAAAACAGCTTTAAAAAAACAGGCTGGGAGATGTTCAGTCATTCAGGCTACTAGGATTATTAGTAAACTTCAGTCAGAACCCCATTTAAACAAAAGAAGTGGAATAATATAATTCAGCAATGTTAAATTATTGCTTGAAGGTCCCATTCCTTTCTAAAGTATAATGAAAAGTATTACATGAACAATACAAACAGAGAAAGCAAGGGTTCCTTCTGAAGTACTTTCAGAAGCCTGACCATGGTGGCAGATAATGTTCGTTTCTCTCCACCACCTCCAGGTGCAGGGATTGTAAGAATGCAGCACCACTAACAGGCTCTGTCCCCTCCCTTTTCTTCCTCATATCACAAATTTGCTTGCAAGCAGGTCACACACTGTGAACATTCCCCATATTAAAATCTTTCACTACTGAGACCTTTTTCGAGACAAAATTTGTAATGATCTCTAACTTTTTTCTGATCTTCCTGCCTCTGTCTTCTGAGCGCTGGATCACAGCTGTGCCCACCACCCCCAGTTGCCCAGCTCATACAGTACTGGGGATTAAACCTTGCACAAAAGGCATCCTACCAACTGAGCTATAAATCCCCAGCACCCTCGTATTCTCTTTCCAAGGAGCGTGCTGAGAGCTGTAAAATCCTCAGTCTCTTTAATGTGAATTTTCTTGAGGATTCTTTTTCTGCAGTTTAATTCTCTTATTTCTTCAACTATGTATTCACTGGACTGCAGGAATTTTTTACTTCTGAGATTAAACTCATGGGACCTTCATAGTACATGTGGCTTGACCAAAACGTTACTACATGATGTATGATAGTTATATGCCACACAGATAACTCCTATTTTGCTGATACATTCAGTGGTTCATTTCAGGGTCACCTCATATGTGACAGAATTGCTCTAGGTCTGTCATTTTAATTGTTGAGACAGCATCTCCCTTAGTTCAGGTTGACTCCGCCTCTGAGAACCCTCTCCCCATCCACCCCAGCCTCCACCTTATGGGTGCCAGGATTATAAGCACACTACTATGTCTGGCAATCGATTCACTGCCAAAAGATGGGGAAATTTGTAGAAGCCTTTAGGCCTCTTCCCAAGTAAGTACAGCTTTAGTGCTTGTACTAGTTTTTGCTCTACAGAAGGTCATGAAGGGGGATAAACTGAAACAGTATAAGCGCCCTCAAACAATGCTGTGTTTTAATCAACAGGCACATCAAAAGGAGAAAAAAAAAAGTCCTCGTTGCCTGTTCCTACCACAAGATGTCCTCACAAACTAATAGTATATCGCAGAAAGATGAGCCCAGAATGTAATAACCCTTATTTTGTGTGCTGAGCAAGTATTCTTTGGTTTTGTTTTTTTTGAGACCGGGTTTCTCTGTGTAACAGTTCTGGCTATCATGGAACTCGCTCTGTAGACCAGGCTGGTTTCGAACTCACAGAGCTATGCCTGCCTCCCAAGTGCTGGAAGTAATGGCATGTGCCACCACAGCCCGGCTGAACAAGTATTCTATCACTGAGCCACATTCAACATGAGCCTTTATATCAAGAATTGGCAGGGCAAAAGGAAAGAGTTTCATTTTTGTTTGGAGTTAGGTCTCAAGTACTCAAGAGCTGAGGATAACCTTGAATTAAACCCACGACCTTACGTGTGCACTTTACCCCGTGTTACATAACCAGTCTTTAGGTAATAATTGTTAACCAGAGATTTATGGGAAAACTACATTCTCTTGAGACAGCACATGAGCCCTCTCAAGGTGAACGAACAATTCCAAGGACAGGGTAAAGACACAGTATATATTTAGAAAGGACAGTGTAGCAATTTAACTAGCTTTGGATGCAAGGCAAAGTATTCCATTAGCAGCACAGATTCCTCAAGCCAGTCCTGCTGCCACGCGGACTGGGTGAATCTCTGTGATGGGGGAGCACTGTGGTGAAAAGCTGTGTACTGTAGGTTACTGATTAACACCCCTGCTCTCTACCCAGTAGATGCTAGAACATCTGTCTCCTGTTAACATGTGGTAAAAAATGTCTCTAAGTCAAAGTGTCTTCCAAATAGGACAGAGTTCATACACTCATGAACCCAGGGGCTGTGGTTGCCATAGAATCATAGAATTCTATGATTCTTCATAGAATCAAGCTGGTTAGCATTCCAGCATGGAGGAAAGCGGCTCATGAGTCCCCCCCACTCCAGCTGAAGGGCTATGGATAGCTGATCACTTGTGGGGTGGGGAACAGTCAGTTTTCTTTAAGGCTATTACATTCCAGTAGATGGTCCCATATCTGTAGTCTATGCACAAACTGACTCAATGGGTTATTAAAAAAATGAGACAAAACTGGGTGTGGTGTTACACATCTTTAATCTCAGCACTTGGGAGACAGAGACAGGAGGATCTCTTGAGTTCAATGCCAGTCTGCCAGCCTGCTCTACTCAGGGAGCTCCAGGACAGCCAAGTCTAGAGAGACCTTGTATCAAAAACAAAAACAAAAAGGGGGGGTATGAAGTTGGGAGGCATCAAGGAGTAGATCTGGGAGGACTTAGGGGGAGAAGTCGGGAGTGAATAAGATACACAAATAAATATACATATATATGCATATATATAAAAAGTTCTCAAAAATAATCAATATACATAAAAAGTTCTCAGAAAACAGTCTGCTTCATAGGATAAAATAGCGCTCAATTCTAGAATTGAAAAGACCAACTACAATCTATGAATTATTATAATTGTGTCCTCAGATAGGTCTGGCAACCAAAGGAGGCATCCAGAGAAGGCTGGCGAAAATACCGAAGCCTCTGGCAGGAACTTAGGAGAGGCACTTCCGGCCCCTTTTAGTGTTCCTGCCTTCCTTGTGGAGCCTGGAAAGTTGTAAGCACTTAAAGGTCATTTATTGTAGTACTCTTCATATTCCAAATGTCCCAGTAAAGAGGGTATTTAAAGAAAGTACACTATTCTATACAATGGAATAATCTTAAAAGGAAAGAAAGGCCTAGCTCTGTCCTGCAGCTGGCTGGAAGCTCTTTTGCAGGCACTGGCATGAACGAATTGTGACGCTCAGGTTCATTCGCCACGATGTGGTAGTGTGTTTGAGCTCTAAAAATGTGGTATGCCACCTGTGTGCCGAGTGACTAGATTTCCAGAGCTGCCTCACAGTTTGGGAATTTATAATGAAAAAAACTGGAAAGATTCCCTTTTGGAAGCAGTCAAAACTTGCAAGGCCAGAGGGAGGGCACTCTGCTGGCTGGGTTGTTGGCAAGCATGGAGCTTCGGGGGTGCAGCAATACTGAGCTCCCGCTCCCGCTCCCGCCGGGGTGGGCCTTCAGTGACACAGTTGCCTTTGCGCTCGCTGTCTGTGCTCTCAGACTCTCACGGATGTGGGCAGATGCTTGTTCATTTCTCCCCAGGGAAAGTCACATGATAGGAAAACATGTTTCATGTGGACATAATTTCTTTTCATCTTTTGGAGACGAGGCCTCATGTAGCTCAGGTTGGCTTTGAAGTGGGTATGAACTTGAGGATGAACTTATCTCTCTATGCCCACCTCCCTCCTGAGTGCGGCTGGGATCACAGGTAGGCACTATCACATCTGGTTTAACACGGTGCTAGAGATGTAAGCCACGGCTTTGTGCATGCTGGGCAAGCATTCCACCAACTGAGCTATATCCCCAGCCTCCGTCAGGATACAGAATTTAAAATGAAGTGTGAAGTGTTAAATAGTTTTTTTTTTTTTAATGGGACTAATGTAGTTAGACCTGGCCAGGATGTCAAAGTTTTTGCAAAGTTAGTAAGTATAACAATCTTTTATGAACCACTAAGCAGAAATACATTGGTGTGATGATACGCACACAACCACAAGAGTAATACCAGCACTCAGGAGACAGAGGCAAGGAGGGTAAATTCAAGTTCCAGAAAAACCAGGATGCTGTCTCAGAAACAAAACAAAGGAAACCATAAAAACCACATATATACACATACAAACCACTATTCAGAAGTATATACTTTAGTCTTAGCTTCTCTTCTGCCTACATAAACATAACCACTTACCTGTTGTAAATCGAGTTACCATCACACAATGATTATTATCAACCTGCGCGGCTTAACTGCCATTCACTGCTACATATAAAATACTGAGTGAGCTCTTGCAGTGTGGCCAGCAATAGTGTAAATGTGAAATCTATATTGATTTCCAAAGAGTAAACATTTAAAAATCAACTTTTTTTTTTTTTGGTTTTTTCAAGACAGGGTTTCTCAGTAGCTTTGGGGCCTGTTCTGGAACTAGCTCTTGTAGACCAGGCTGGTCTTTAACTCACAGAGATCTGCCTGCCTCTGTCTCCCGAGTGCTGGGATTAAAGGCCTGCGCCACCACCGCCCGGCTTTTTTTTTTTTTTTAAAGAAAGATTAACTGTCCTTTTTTGCAAAGTGGGATGGTTATGTAACTAGCCTTACAAACTCCCCTGCATCAGCCTCCCCTAAGCTGGAATTAGAGACAGGTACCATCATGCTGGACTAAGTTATGAGAATTTAACTAATTACTCAAAGGTGATCAAACTAATGTCAAAATTATCTCACACATGAAAGTTAGATGTGGTGGCACATACAGTTAATCCCTGCACTCAAGAGGCAAAGGCAGATGAATCTCTGTGAGTTCCAAGCCAGCCTGGTCTACATATCAAGTTCAGGAACAGCTAGAGCTACATAGAGAGACCTTGTTTAAATAGAAAAAGAAAAAAAATAAAAAAATATATTACAAAATATTATATAGCCACAGGGCTGATGACAGTTTAAGGAGGAAATGGCTATAGACCCCAACCTGCAAGCACGCTACTAGCCACATCCCCATTCTCAAAGCAGATTTTTAAGAAAGAAAAAAAATCAAATTTCTTCTTAGATAAATACACTTTTTTTTTTTTTTTTTGAGACAGGATTTCTCTGTACTGGAACTAGCTCTTGTAGACCAGGCTGGCTTCGAAATCACAGAGATCCGCCTCCCTCTGCCTCCCGAGTGCTGGGATTAAAGGCATGCACCACCACCGCCCGGCCGATAAATAAATACATTCTTTTTGGATAATATCATCTTTCCAAAAGTCACTGTCAAATGATGTCTTTGGACTTTAAATATTTCTTATTTGAAAACATTAAATACACTTACTTAAGTGTTATTTCCTACTTTTGACAAAAGCCCTGATACATTATGTACATCGTTTAAAAAACCCGAGAGGGGAGTGTTCAAGGAGAAAGATTTCAAATTCCTGTAGCTAACCAATATTTAAATCTCACGCCCAAATTCTTTCCAAAATTCTAAGCATTCTTTCTTAATCGTAAAGAGCAGATATTCATGAATCAAAATATTTATCAACCTATGTTACAGAGAAAGACCCAGTCTCAAAACCCAGAAACACAACATAGGAACAAGTTGTTCGTCCTTCACTTCTGTACCTCAAGCGTACTTCGCTTTCGGGCCTTAAAACAAACAATCCCTACACACTCGTCCTGTACTCCAGCGCCCCTTAAATGATACACAGCCTTTTTTTCTTGGCTCACTCCAGTGGACCAAACCCGTCTCTAGGGGTGACAGTCAAAGTCATGCTTATTTACGTTTAGATGAGAATCCATGCACTCTCGGGCGTTTGAGAGGCCACGAACGTGGGCTCACAAGACACTCCACCAAACAGAACAGAATCGAACTCGGGTGTTTTATTCGATTAGTCCTCTCCACCAGAGGTTTTGAGGACAATACCTTTTCCAAAACTGTATCAAAACCGGGAACTCTCAACAAGACCTTCATGATTTCCCGGAGATTCTGGGTCAAGCTGCTCATCGTGGAGGCAACTCAAGATTCTGGGCTCTGGAGAAATGAAGTCTGGAAGAGAAGCTTGGGAAAGCACAAGAGCGTGGTAGCTCTAACCCGCAAGTGTTGTGCGCGTTCTGGATGAAGGGTCGCGCGCTCTCGCTGCCCGAGTCCTCACAGCCCGGGCACTGTGTTTTGTACCCGCTAGGGCTCCAGCGCGCACGCGCAGCCTGACTCCACCACCCCCGCGCGCCCGCGTCCGCCCCTCGCTTGTTGCGCAGACTCGCCCAAGACCTAAGTTCCGCCGGAAAGTTGATGCGGAAGCACACGCACGCAGCGCGCCTGCGCAGAGCCCGGCGTTTGTTTTCCCAGTCGCGCGGGAAGCGGCGTGCGGAGCGGATCGCCTCGGGAGATGCTGTGCTGATGGCGTCCGGGAGCGGCTCGGATGCGCGGGAGCCGGCAGAGCCGGCGGCGGCGCCTGCAGCCGCGGAAACAGAGGAGATTGACCAGCGGGTGAAGAGGCGGCGGCTTCAATGCATGGGGTTTGCGATGATGGCGAAATGCGAAACCACGATGGCCCACACCTTCCTGTCGGAGAACGACTGGCAGATGGACGTGGGTTTGCGTTTCTCGTTTTCTCCCCTCCTCCCAGGTGGGCGGAGCGCGCTCTCCATCCTTGTGCCTTTGCTTTTCAGAAAGCGCTGAGCGCCTACTTCGAACCGCCAGAGAACGACCCCGCGTGGCCACGCCAGCCTCCGACGTCCTTCCAGTCCGAGGCCTAGTAAGCGACGGGGGTCGCGGGCGGTTTGCTGGGGGCCCGCGTTGGGCATCACAAGACCCTACCTGGAAATGGAAGCCGATGCCCTCAGGATGGGCATCAGAGGGAAGGCCTTTCTCCGAGGGACACAGTCACTTCCAACGTAACTTGCTTATTTTGGCTTGTTTATTTATTGTGTAGCCCTGGCTGTCCTGGAGTTTGCTCTGTGGACCAGACAAGCCTCAAACTAAGAGATCCGCCTGCTTCTGCACTCTTAGTGCTGAGTTTAAAGGCTTGTACTACGATCGACTTCTGACGTGATTTTTTTTTTCTTAGTCAATGGAGGAAGGAAAGAAAACTCTGAAAT